CTACCACTTGAGCCACAGTGCCACTTTCGGCTTTTTTCTTTTTGCTTATGTGGTGCTGGGGAATCGAACCCAGGGCCTCATGCATGCAAGGCAAGTGCTCTACCACTGAGCCACCTTCCCTGCCCCAATGACCTTATATATAGTGTATATACATGCACATCTGAGGGAAGGTGGGGGAGGGCACAGAAGCAGTGGAAAACGGATGAAAAAGTGCAGCTGTGGAGCCCACTGGCTGCATTGGACATTTATTGAAATGAAACACACAACATGTGGATGGAGATGGGAGGGAGGGAATGGGTAAGAATGAGGGAACAGGTAAAAGGAAGGAAATATACTTATTACCTGACGAATGTAAAGGTAACCCCACTGTATATTACCTCTAAAACAATAATAAAATAATAATTAGAAAAAATTTGGAAGCTCTAAAATAGTAGAGAAAGCTACCTGAGCTGGGCATGGTGCCACACATCTGTAATCCCAGTACTTGGGAAACTGAGGCAGGAGATTATAAATTTAAGGCCAGCCTTAAATGTAAATTGTGAGACAAACAGAAGAGCCATCTAAGTCTGACATGTCAGTCAATCTTCTGTTGGATACTGAAATATCTCCAACAGCCAGCTTTGGCCCCACCCTTCTTCCCCAGAATGTCCTGGAGGAAGGGGGGCTACTTGTTGCCTTCTGTCCATAGTGGCTATAAATGTTAAGGAATAAAAAATTAGTTCCCCTTTAGGAAGAGGTGAGGGCTTTCAGGTCTAGAACTTGAGGTTTCTTCTAGTCCTGTCTCTGTCTCTTTTTTCTCTTCCTCCCTCCCGCCCTCTCCCTGTCTTTCCCTCCCTCCGCACTTCCCACCCCCTTATCGGTCAGTCATGGGACTTGGACTCAGGGCCTGACTGTGAGCTCTTTTTGCTCAAGGCTAATTTACTACCACTTTGGTTTTTGTTGTTGTTGTTGCAAACTCTTTATTGTGATTAAGTGATTACATAATTTCACAAATTTTACAGTATTGTGGGATAGTTAAATTCACAAACACATTCTAACTTTCATGGGGCAAATTGTCTATTGTGGTCTATAAAGTTTGACTTCTATGAGCTTTGACAATACACTTATTTCTTCCACATCGAGTGATGTGTACATTCCTTTCTTTTTGCATAGTGTCAGCTTTTCCACTCATTCCCTCCCTCCCATCGTTGCCATTGGAGTTGCTTAGTTTTAATCAATGTCCAGTGCAGCTGAGGGGTCCCACTGTTGTATGTTTTTCCCTGATTGCCTCTAGTTCTGTGTCTTCCTAGTTTCCCTCTGGTGTGTGATCAGCAGCTTGAGGTTATTTAGTAGTGATTTGACCAGATGAGTGGAGGTCCTTTATTTCTCAAGTCTTGTTAACTTTGTCATATCACCGTACATTTTGGATTTAACATCCACTTATCAGGGAGACCATGTGCCATTTGTCTCTTTGCTCTGGGCTTACCTCACACAACATGATTTCTTCTAGTTCCATCCATTTCCCTGCAAATGCATCTATTTTGTCCTTTCTAATGGCTGCATAATAGTCCATTGTATATAGATAACACAATTTTGGATCCATTCATCTGTGTTGGGGTGCACTACCACTTTGAACCACAGCTCCACTTCAGTTTTCTGGTGGTTAATGGGAGATAAGAGTCTCACAAACTTTTCCTGCCTGGACTGGCTTCAAACTGATTAGATCTCAGCCTCCTGAGTAGCTAGGATTACAAGTCTGAGCCCCCAGTGACCAGCTTATAGCCCTTCTTAACCTTTTTGACGATTAACAGTGTAACTTGGAGGTTCAGACAGAAAAACTCTTTGTCTTTGATTTTTGTTCTCTACTTTTAACCATTCAAAAATCAGTGCTTAATTGTTTTTTGGTTTTGGTTAGGGTTCTGCAGCATTCTAGACCACGAGCACCAAATCAGGATGGGAAAAAGACGTTGCGTTCCTCCACTTGAGCCCAAGTTGGCAGCTGGCTGTTGTGGGGTCAAGAAGCCAAAGCTATCTGGAAGTGGAACACACGGTCACGGGAACCAGTCCACAACTGTCCCTGGCTCTAGTTCAGGACCTCTTCAAAACCACCAGCATGTGGACAGCAGCAGTGGACGGGAGAATGTGTCGGACTTGACCTTGGCACCTGGAAACTCTCCCATCACACGGATGAATCCCGCATCGGGAGCGCTGAGCCCTCTCCCCCGGCCTAATGGACCTGCCAACACCACCAAGAACCTGGTGGTGACTGCAGAAATGTGCTGCTACTGCTTCGACGTGCTCTACTGTCACCTCTATGGCTTCCCACAGCCACGGCTTCCTAGATTCACCAATGACCCCTAGTAAGTACATCAGTCACAGTGTAGATGGCATCTTTTGGAGGCCATTCTTGACAGAATGTAATGGTTACCAAGAATATTTATTTGAGCAAAGGGCAAGAGAACAAGAATGATGAGAAGTGGTCAAAGAATAGTTAGGACTTTCAATGGATTCAGTAAAGGAAGAGGACTAGGTTTGTTGCTAGTGATCTAGAACAGCAAGAGTAGGTCACTTAACTTGCTGTGCAGAGAAGTAACATTGTCATTCCAGACTATGCTTATACCATTGGGAACTTCAGAAGTGTCAAAGTCCAAGTGACGGGCTGGGAAGGTGGCTCAGTGGTAGAGTGCTTGCCTTGCATGCACGAGGCCCTGGGTTCGATTCCTCAGCGCCATATAAACAGAAAAAGCTGGAAGTGGTGCTTTGGCTAAAGTGGTAGAGCGCTAGCCTTGAGCTAAAGTGCTGAGGGACAGTGCCCAGGCCCAGAGTTCAGGCCCCATGACCAACAATTAACCACCAGAAAACTAGAAGTGACTCTGTGTGTGTCTCAGGTGGTACAGCGCTCGCCTTAAGCTGAAGAGCTGAGGGATAGTGCCCAGGCCCACAAAAAAAAAAAAAAAGTGTCACAAAGACTTTCCTGCCGAGACTGTCTTTGAACTGTGATCCTCAGATTCCAGCCTCCTGAATAGTTAAAAAGATTACAGGTTTGAGCCACCAGTGTCCAGCCTTTTAAGAGTTGTTGAATGGGCTTGGTACAGTACATTTGGCTGGAGTTGTTACTATATTATGGAAAGGAAATAATGGAGTAGGTGGTTGATCTGCTGTGAAACTTTGAAATGATCTAAGATTGTTCTTGAAGAGTAAATCTTGGGCTGGGAATGGGGTTAGTGGTAGAGTGCTTGTCTAACATGCATGAAGCCCTGGGTTCAATTCCTCAGTACCACATAAACAGAAAAGACTGGAAGTGGAGCTGTGTGTCAAGTAGTAGAGTGCTAGCCTTAAGCAAAAAGAAGCTCAGGGACAGTGCCCAGGCCCTTAATCCAAGCCCCAGGACTAACCAAAAAATATTATTTTAGGGCTGGGAATGTGGTTCTGGGTTCCATTCCTCAGTACCACATAAGCAGAAAAAGCCAGAAGTGGTGCTTGGCTCAAGTGATAAGAGTGCTAGCCTTGAGCTGAAGAGCTGAGGGACATACCTAGGCCCAGAGGTCAGGCCTTAGGACGACAAAAAAAAAAACAAATAAAAACATGGGCTGGGAAGGTGGTTCAGGGATAGAGCACTTGCCTTGCATGCCTGAGGCCCTGGGTTCGATTCCTCAGCATTACATAAGCAAAAAGAAAAAAGCCGGAAGTGACGCAGTGGCTCAAGTGGTAGAGCGCTAGCCAGTGAGCTGAAGAGCTGAGGGACAGCGCCCAGGCCCAGAGTTCAGGCCCCACAACCGGACCCCCCCAAAAAAACAAACAAAAAACCAAGGAGAGAATAGAAGGGAAACTTGAGCCAGGTACAGTTTTATACTCCTGAAGCCCACGCTTGTGAGGGAGGAAGATTTGGAATTTGAGGCCAGCCTGGCCTATATAGAGAGACCCTAAATAAATTTTCAAAAAGGGAAAATTGAGAACTGGAAGAGGAAGAGGAAAATAGCTTATAACTGTGGTGTCCCTGAATTAACGCTCATGAATGGAGCTCATGAAAGGTTATAGTGTTTCTTCTGGTAACAGTTTCCTGTCCCCAGCCAGAGCTGAGCTCCATCCAGTTAAGGCCAGAGTTCTTTTTTTTTTTTTCTCTCTCTCTTTTTTTTGGGGGGGGGGTCCAGTTGTGGGGCCTGAACTCTGGGCCTGGGTGCTGTCCTTCAGCTCATGGCTAGCGCTCTACCACTTGAGCCACAGCGCCACTTCCGGCTTTTTTCTTTTTGCTTATGTGGTGCTGAGGAATTGAACCCAGGGCCTCATGCATATGAGGCAAACACTCTACCATTGAGCCAACTTCCCAGCCCCAAGGCCAGAGTTCTTCAGATAGTTGACAAACCAAAAAAATTCTTCTGGGCGGTAACATAGAACACGAATGGTTAATCTGGGGCTGTAGGATGTTTTATGTTTTGCTTTGTTTAGTCCACTCTTTGTGACCTGGAAGACAGGGCGGGATAAGCGGCTCCGCGGCTGCATTGGGACCTTCTCAGCCATGAATCTTCACTCAGGACTCAGGGAATACACGCTAACCAGGTAAGGACTCAGACATTAAGAATTATGCATAAATTGGCTACAGTTGGAAACACTGGACCTCATTTCTTCTAAGTGATAGGTTTTGAACAGTACCTTTTTGGTAATCAGGAAATGGAAGGACTTTGATATGGTGGGACTCTCAGCAAGTTGATATTTACATTGGTGTTGATGGGTGGTGGATGCTCTCTGTGTGTGTCTGCATTCAGTATGTCGTGTGTTGGCTCCCTTCTCTGGAGGAGCCTAACTTATAAAGTGTTCTGTCCCCTCTAGTGCACTTAAGGACAGCCGATTCCCCCCTCTGACCCGAGAGGAGCTGCCTAAGCTTTTCTGCTCTGTCTCCCTCCTCACTAACTTTGAGGATGCCGGTGATTACCTGGACTGGGAGGTGAGAACAGCCGCATTCGGAACTCTGCATTTGGGTTCGGTTAGTACATGGCAATGTGTCTCCTTCATTGGAAGAGGGTCTAAGGTGCAAGCTGAGTTTGGATTCGGTGTGGGCAATGTAGTTGACAGGAAAGAGGCTACGCTACTCTTTGAGGAGTAGGAAGAAATATAAGTGTAAAGACTTTTATGCCCCCATTTCTTCCCAGTTATTCTGTTCTGCATTCTTATTCTATAGTAAGAAAAAAAGGGATAACAGAAAACACTGCCAATCTCTATCAACAACTCCTTAGGAATCACATGTTGACCTTTCTCTAAAACTGGGTTTTTTTAAATTTTAAGTAGTTGTACAAAGGAATTTTAATTCCACAAGTCATTATGAGTATAGTATATCTTGATCGATGTCATCTTTTTTTTTTTTTCTTCTATACCTTAAGAGAGAGCGAGAGTCATGAAAAACAAGAATTTCTCCTTTACCCAGTTCTGGGTTGAGCAGGTCAGAGGACAGTATCATATATTAAAATAAATAAATGCCATTTATTTGGTTGCTTTTTGTTTTTGTTTTGTTTTAGGTAGGGGTTCATGGGATTCGAATTGAATTCATCAATGAAAAAGGTGTCAAACGCACAGCCACATACTTACCTGAGGTTGCTAAGGAACAAGGTGAGTTGGACAAATAGGTATTTAGGGAAGAATTGTACCACTTAACAGTATCAGTTAAAGGACAAGAGAATGAAGCATGTCATCAGTTAGCCCTACTGCCACTAAGAATGAATGCCTCTGATCCCTGTCAAATTTCTGTAGGACAAAGGCAAACTCCCTAAAAGACCTAGGAGCTGGGAAAAGAAAAGGAGAAATACTTTCCTTAGTTGCTTGTTTAAAACACTTCCTTTCAATAATAGTTTTACTTCTACTTGGCTCTCTGAGCTAGAGTGGTTAATTGTAGCAAAATTCATCAACGAGTCTGACCACATTATAGCATTTATTATAGCAATATTATGGTTTGGCAAAGGGCAAAACATACTCCTGCTGTTTTTATTGAACTTGGTAGTTATTTAATGGATTTGTATAATTGAGACATTGTGGGTTGGGTAGGCTTTCTCTTCAAAACAATATCTAGAAGAATACCTTTAAATGTTGTTTGTGCTTTCTGTGATATGTAACCCCATTTTCTTTCTTTCTTGGAATTAGTTTGTTTTTGAAAATAATATGTGAGACACAGTATTTGTTGGGTGTGAACGTGGAATAGAGAAAAATATCCAGTTAAGTATATTAATGACCTAATTATATAGAAAGAGATTGTCTTGTTGGTTTCCAATGTCATTGTGTTTAAACATTCTCAAAAGCGGTATGAATGTATCATTAAAAGGAAGCCTTCTAGCCACCTCTGTGAGGGTGTAGATCTAACACTTTTTTTTTTTTGGTGGGGGGGTCTGGTCGTGGGGCATGAACTCTGGGCCTGGGTGCTGTCCCTCAGCTCTTCAGCTCAAGGCTAGCACTCTACCACTTGAGCCACAGCGCCACTTCCGGATTTTTTCTTTTTGCTTATGTGATGCTGAGGAATCGAGCCCAGGGCCTCATGCATGCAAGGCAAGCACTCTACCACTGAGCCACCTTCCCAGCCCCCTGATCTAACACTCTTATGTTCAAGGAGCACACCAAAACATGTTTCTCAGTGGTGAAATATGGATGGTAACTTAGGCAAATAAAATGCTTTTGCCATTTGAAAGTAAGAACATTAAATATTTGGGACATCATGAGATTTTTCTTTTATTTTTCAATTTGAGGTACATGGTTTTATTATAATTTTGTGAGATGCTGGGTGATAATGGCCCATACCTATAATCCTAGCTATTCAGGATTGCTGACATTTGAGGCTAGAGGTCCAAGCTAGTTCAGACAGACAAATCTATCAAATTTTTCTCTCTGATTAGCCACCAAAAAAAAAAAAAAATAGTCTGGAACAAGCCAGGTACCTGTAATCCTAGCTACTCAGGAGGCTGAGGATCTATGTTCAATGCTATCCTGGGCAGCAAAGTCTATGAGACTATCTCAACCGTGAAAAAGACAGAAGTACAGCTGTGGCTCAAGTGGTAGAGCACAAGCCTTGAGCAAAAAAGCTCAAGGACAGAACCCATGCACTGAGTTCAAGCCCCAAGACCAGCACAAAAATAAACATACATACATACATACATAATCTGAGTCAAGTGCTAGTGGCTCCCACTTTAATCAGGTGGCTGAGATTTGAGGATCACATTTCAAAGCCAGCCCAGGTAAGAAAAGTCCATGAGTCTCATCTCCAGTTAACCACCAGAAAACTGGAATTGGTGCTGTGGCTCAAAATGGTAGAACACTAGCTTTGAGTAAAAAAGAAAAAAAAAAAAAGAGCTCAGGGACAGCACCTAGGCCCAGAGTTCAAAAGCCCTACAACCAACAAACACAACACACACACAGACATACACAAAAAAATGAAATGGAATGCTTGGCTCCGTTGCTGAATACGAGCTATAAGTAAAAAAACCAGGCAAGAGTGCAAGGCCCTGGAGGTTGGAAGCACGGCACCACTAATGAGCAGAGTGTCCAGTCTCTTAGTCTCAGAACCAAAAAATAAAAGAATATAAGGCCCAGAGGTCAAGTCCCAGTATTGGTGCTTCCTGGCAAAATGTGTAAGGACTCAAGTTCAGGTGTGAACAATTTTTGCATCCTTCCTAAAGGAACAGGTGGGGTTTTTGTTTGTTGTTTCGTCTTTGTTTTGTTTTTGTTTTTTTCCTACTCTTAAGTTCTCTATCATAGAAATTAGGTCTTAGGAAAATTATCAAACTAAAGGAAGGACACTCAGTTTAAAAGCTGCAGAATTTAGGACTTAGGAAAATTATCAAACTGAAGGAAGGACACTCAGTTAAAAGCTACAGAATTTAAATTCTCCTCTTTCCTACTGGGTAGTGGATCATGCCTGCTGTCCTAGATACTGAGGCAGGCAGATTATTTAAGCCCAAGAGTTGAGGTTTAACCTGGGAAACACGATAAACCATCTTCACACAGAGTAGTCATGAGTACTAGCTGGCTAGGGTAAGTTGACCCTGTTTATTCCTTGATTACACTGGAGTGCAGTGGGTGTGGGGTCACTGCAGACTGATGCTTCTTAAATCCCACTCATCATCCTATGCGGGCCATATTTGAGCATATACCTCTCTTGCTGACAGTATAACTAACCTCTGTTCTCAGACTGGGATCAGATCCAGACGATAGACTCCTTGCTCAGGAAAGGTGGTTTTAAGGCCCCAATCACCAGTGAATTCAGAAAGTCAATCAAACTCACCAGGTAAGCCACGGTCTCATTCTTGTTATTCTCATGTAGTAGGATTGAATAGAGGAAACTTTTGATGGAAAGAGGAAGAGGAAAAGTTTTTCTCTGCTAATGTTCCTAAGCCAAAGAAGTATAGTTGAGCTTTAAGCATTAAGGAAGCAGCATCAGCAGCAGTAAAGACAAAGATTCTTTAGCATGCTGTTTGTCTCCACAGCTATGCTGTCAGGGAGAAAGCCTACTGAATGAGGTGAGGTCTTCTAGACAGACACATTTGTTTGAGAGGCTTAGAGGAAGGTTTAAGTCAGGAGGGAATGATCTGGGTGTGGAGATTGAGTCAGTTGAGGTGCTTCTAATCACAGTACAGTCAAGTGTCAAGGGAATGCAGGAGATTCAGAGATACCTTTTACAAGAAGTTAAAAGGAAACACCTCCCACTTTGGGTGTAATACTGCAGTGGGCAGACTGCGTCATTTCATAGAATGCAGTGGCTTGGGGTCTGAATCCCAACCTGGCTGCCTTCTGGCTGTGTGACCTGGGCCAGTTATTCCACCTCTCTGAACTGTTTCCTGTCTGTAAGATGTGAGTGGTAATTTCTTTGGGTTGTTGTTTTAGGATGTGGTTAGGTGATGCATAGAGAGTTTGCAGCCCATGGCTAAGCAGCACCAAAGATGATCAGTAGGTGTCAGTGATCTTCCTGTCCCTGCCGACATTGGAAGCACTGGTTGAGAGGTTAGCGTCTTTGGGCCTCTTATTTGACTCCTTGTCTGCAAAATGCTGAGGTGTCATATACTAGCCTCACAGGTCTGTTTGGAAGATTACCCAGTGTTTTTTTAAATACTTTGGATGCCAAGAATTAAGGGGCTGGGGGTGTAGCTCAGTGCTGAGCATACACAAGGCCCTGAATTCCATCCCCAGCACCAAAATCTTAAAATTGAAAGAAAGAAAAAAACACTCTTCAAATACAAAGCATTATTACTATTATTATTACAATTTATTTGAACAGCCATTTCCCTGTCAAAATTCAGGAATAATCACCTTGCAGTGGAGGAGTGATTACAGTGGGAAAGAGATGGCTCTGGGTAAGGATTGTCACACCCAGCTCCTGTGGTCTGTAGTAGGCTCCATAGGTTTGTAACACCCCATGCTTCGCATCCTGACTCATAGCTCTTTCCAGAGCACAGCCAAAGTGCTATGAATTCTGTTCTGATGACCCTGTGATAATGGCATATTCATCTGGGGATGGAGACCTGTTCTATATAGCCCAAGGATCCTTTAACCTGCTGCAGCAGAATTTGACCCAGAATTAGGTGTCTGTGCCCCTTTTTAGTTATAATAACTTATTTGTTGCTGTTGGCCAAATTGAGGTTGCATTTTTGTCAAATTTTATCTCATTTTAAGCTGAAAGTAGATGTTCAGTTTACACTGGGTTTTGGTGCAGCCATCTTCCAATTTGCCACCCATTTAATTTGATCTTGAAATTCTTCATCCAGACCCAGTAGCAGATTGCTTATGAGCAGCCTGATAATAAGCATATGTAGAGTTTAAAGGTGGGATGTGCCGAAATACATTCTCAGGGGTGAATTGTGATTGTGCTTTTTCATCTTGTTCATTTGTAATAACAGCATTGTTTTCTTGTGCTGTCTTTCATTTTCTGTAAGTAAGATTGCTCTTGGTCTTCCATTTTATTCTTTCAATATATGAGATGAGCTTTTGGTTTTCTCTGCTGAGTGACTTCAAAATGAGATGCTTGGGGTTCCTAATACCCCTGCCTGTTTCCTTATACAGGTACCGAAGTGAGAAGGTGACAATCAGTTATGCAGAGTATATTGCTTCTCGACAGCACTGTTTCCAGAATGGCACTCTTCATGCCCCGCCCCTCTACAATCATTACTCCTGACACACGGCTGCATGACCAGTCCCACCCCCCTGTGGCCACCAGTGGCTATGACATCATTGGAGCAGATGCCTCCTCTTCTTGGTCCAGTTACTTCTATTACTGCACCATTTTATGATGCTAGCTTCCGTTGCCAAGTCTGCCTCCCACTGACTGAGGGGTGTGGGGTTACACTGAATGAAACAGAACTTTAGGGGCCCAAGCCTTATCTCAGCCTTTCCTCAATATGGGGTCCATTGGATTGGGGCTCCTCCATGACTAGTGAGAATTACTGTGGGTTCAGAAGACTCTTGTCTGGTGACTTGCCACACATGTGCTGGCTATATTCTGGAAGCTGGAATTGATGATCCGTGAAAGTTTACTCCACACCCAAGCCCCACAGCTTTCCCATCAAGTAGGTGTGTTCCCCTGGCAGTCTGGGCAACGGAGACCAACAAGAAACATTTTTAGGTTGTTTTAAATTCCTTTTTTTTAAACTTCCAGTTTATTGCATACCAAGAGTTGATCACAACCTCCATGCTTCATAAGTGGACGCCATGTTAGGGTCAAATGTGGGCACCGTGAGTCCTTCAAGGCTCCTGGACAGAGACCCACATGCAGATCGGAAGCCCTTTGGATGGCGTTGCAGATCCATTGCTCAATAAGCCGTGGAGGTGTCAATGGTCACCCCACTCAGCTGGATTTTCTGGCTTTGTTCCTTCATCAAGTCTCCTGGTATTGAACAGAGCTGTGTGGTGTAGCCTGCTGAGGAGTTGAATGGAGATGCCTCTAGAAGGTCTTGATGTCATCGCTGCAAGCAGGTGTGGAAAGAGAGACTTCTTCTCACCTCCTGGCTACCTCACCCTTCTTCTGGTAGTAGTGCCTGTGTAACTGGATCTGAGCTCTCAGAAGCATAGATGTGCAAATAGGCATTTGGGTTGTGTTGTCATAGGGGAGAATCCACTGTCTTCCAGCTGGTTTTCTCTTCAAGTAAACATCCTGCGGGACCTTTAAGCAAGGGAGTTTTCTTTTTCCAGTTTGCCTATAGAAGTGGAAAGACAGTTGCTATTCAGTCAGTCCTTTGGACACTAGAGCAAAGCTGTATAATTAAACAAGGTGAATCTTTGTGTTGCCTACCATGCTGGGAATATTTACCCCATTGGGGCAAATTTCCAAATCACTTGTGGTTCTTAGTCATTTAAACTCCTGACATTTCCTTTTCTCGTTGCTGATTTCCAATAGCCAGCAGCAAGTTTTCCTCCCTTGCCTATTCTTCACTCGTTCGGTGGCACAATTCATAGAACCAGGAGACTTGAGGTGTTCTGAAAGCACTGTCACAAAGGCACTGCAAAAGTGATCGATCCACAGAAGAGGTGGCCAGCTGGAAGGAAGGAGCCCGAGGATGGTGCACTGGCTTTCAGCACATGCTTAGAGAACTTTTGCGGAGGGCTGGGTTTCAACCCAGTGAACACATTTTTATTTAATTTATTTTTTAGTTTATGTGGTGATAGTGTGGCTTTCCAAAACGAGCAAAACTTGTCAAAAGATCTTTGGAATTTCCTTCTGCCAGGAATGTAGCGGGAGAAAAGGGACACTTGTGCTATTCTAGGTATTGCTTCTAAGTTCCTGGGGAGGAGTATGAGGGCCAGTTTGTATTGCTAGTGAAGACCTGGGATGAATGGGGAGATGCAAATGGCATCAGAGTGCCCAGGCTGTGTCCCTTTCCTGCCAGGTTGGGTTCCTTTAGCCTGCCATGTACCCCTGGTAATGCCAGTGAAGGTGATGGGTGTCATGGTTTCCTGCCGCTGAAGGTGATACATGTATTAGAGATAGATGTTATGGCAGGTACACAGGTGCCATGATCGATGTCAGGGTGGTTAGCTCAGGAGTGAGTCACCCACCTCCAATTTGTACAACAGTATTGACACATAGGGCTACACTCATTACTGTTCATGTGTTCTATGTTAAAAGTTGTGTTTAATTTCTAAAGATTTAAAAAAAAAAAAGCAAAAAAAATTGGTGCTAAACTTAACCCCTGAGCACGCTCAGTGAGACTGGTCATGCAAGCATTTACAGTGCCATGCTCCTCAAGCCCATTTTTCTTGTAGAAATGTTGCCCTATTTGTCTTCCCCAATGTATAATATGTATTTTATTTTGTTGAGGGTGGGGTAGGATACCTGCCATTTAAAAAAATGAACAGAAAAATTTTAAACCCAAGAAATGGGGAAAAAAAAATCAGTGCACAAGAATCGGGCTGGTGAAGGCCAGCCCCACACTGAAGTGGGCTCAGTGGTTTTGGAGTGAAGAAGCCTTACTCCCTGCACATTCCCTCACGCTCCCACACGAGTCCAGCCATGGAGATGCTCTGGCTCCTCTTGCCTTGTCAAGGAGCCCAGGAGTCAGCCAAGGAAAACTCTTTGGCCCGATAAGGAATAGGCACTGTTAATGCCTGTCCTGACCAAGGCCTGGTCAGGAAGAAGTCTGGAAGTGTTTGGTCATTGTCACCTCATAGAAACATGTGGCAGGTGGCTCTCAGGAAAACTACCGTGTGGCTCATCATGTGGCAGCTTTGCATAGGGAGGTAACAGCTCTGAACTGGAACTGAACTGCCTTCCTCAACGCTTACCAAAACATTAATGAGGGTGGCCAGTCCATGCTGAATGAGTGATGGGTAGAGAAAAGGGAATGTTTCCTGCCCAGTGTTTCCTTTGTCCTTGGGCCACTTGAGCTTAACAGTAGATAACCACTGTTGTCAAGGAACCAGCCCAACTTTGCTAGCTTGGTTCGGAGTTTGTTTCATCCCTAGCTGTGAGTGCCTTTTGGTCTGGAAAGTTGGCTTGTCTCATCATACCCACAGCTAGGACATTCTCTCTGTAATTATGAATTGTCCTTGTTTTACATGAACTAAAAGAGAATGTCTTTGATCACTAGAGTTTGTCAGTGTTGGATTGTTTCAACTGTGAGGTTCTTAAACTTTTTCGCTTCATAATATCAAAACAATTCATGTTAGAGACCCTTTCATGCGAAAGGTTTGTAGTTGAGACATTACATATATTTTACTGTTTATAATAAAAATAATTATACAAAACAAGTCCTGGGTGTTAATTTTAATATTTTGCACAAAATCTGTTTTCCATATGTTAACATCTACAGTTTCACTAACTTAATGTTTCCTATTGCAATTTCTGGAGCCTAGGGAGCTACATGTTTTTTGTTTCTTTCTGTTCTTATTTCCTTGAAGCAAGAGACTGTATGGCCTTCAGTGCAAAGACTTCAGACCAATTCTTTGTATTACATTTGGTTGCCTCTTGGCTATATAACTTCTGAGTGCAAATCATTGAACTCTTTAACAAAGTATTGTAGAGAATAAATCATAATGGGTAAAAATTGGTTGTCTGCCTCTTTTTTGTAACCAGGTGACTTGAATTATCTGACATAATGGTTAACAGCCGTCTTAGTTTTGAAGATAGCCAACCAGATGGTAAGTAGTGAGCCTGGGTGTTTTGTGTGATGTTCATAACACCCACTAACCTTGTGATTGTTTGGGGGAGGTTGGGTTTTTTGGTGGTTGGTAGCTTTGCCTTTGTTTTTAGAGTCAAGTTTACTGAGTTATCATTAATGAACACTAAAAATTGGATTTTTCCAGAATGGAAGTTCAATATTATATAATGAGGCTGTCAACCTTCTGTCTAAATTCTGGAAGACTTTTTTTTTTTTTAAAATAGGGGAAAGGGTGCAGGTATCAGGGCTTGAACTCAAAGCCTAGGTGCTATCCCTTAGCTTTTCCTCTCAGGCTGAGACTCTACCACTTAAGCCACAGCTCTACTTCTAGCTTTTTGGTGATTAATTGGAGGTAAGAGTTTCATGGACTTTTCTGCCTGGGTGGCTTTGAACCATGATCTCTGCCTTCTGAATAGCTAGGATTATAGTCGTGAGCCAGGTGTACCCAACAGGAATGATTTTTTTCTCTCTCCCTTTTTTTTTTTTTTTTTGCCAGTTCTGGGGATTGAACTCAGGGCCTGGCAACTGTCCCTGAGCTTCTTTAGCTTAAGGCAAGCACTCTACCACTTGAGCCACAGCACCACTTCTGGCTTTTTCTGTGTATGTGGTACTGAGGAATTGAACTCAGGGCTTCATACATGCTAGACAAGGACTGTACCACACTCCCAGCCCCTCAGGAATGATTTTTAATTAATGTGGTGTACATCTGTACATTTACCATTTTATAAGTTAGGGGGTGATTTTTATATTTTGGGCTAGAACTCAGAGCCTGGACATTGTCCCCGAGCTCTTTGGCTCAAGGATAGTGCTCTACCACTTTGAGCTGCAGTACCACTTATGGTTTTCTGGTGGTTAATTGGAGATAAGGGTTTCACAGGCTTTCCTAGCCAAGGCTGGCTGTGATTTTTAGAGCTCAGCTCCTGAGCTAGGATAACAGGTGTGAGCCACTGACACCTGGTTACGGGGGTGAATTTTTAACATGATTCTGAAGTTCTCACTCTTGGTAAAACAACACCTGGCTAGGATAATTGTGGAAATAGGTGACAGCTTGTTAATCATTTACTGATTTTGGTTATGTATGAAAAGGAAGTTTTTCTTTAGGGGACATTGATGTTTATTACACTCCTTACATATAGCAGTGCTTACTGTTAGATTTAAGCATGAAATGTCCTCATTTATTGGAGGTGTAGAGAGCAGATAAAAACAATTGGTGTTTTAGCCATCCCTGTTCTCCCAAATGTGAAACAAGTGGTCCAGCTAGAGGTTAGTTAGTGTGATAATTTTTATTTTACTTATTGTAAAGATGATGAACAGGGCTAATTTTTGTGAAAATTGGGAGGTGCTTTAAAGTTGCTTCCAGACCACTGTGGGGTTTGTGGTTTTAGCTTGAGGGTCCGGCTTTGAAGAACTATTTAGTGTTTGGTTGAAAGAGCTGGCTGAGGATAACAATGCCAGATGCTGTTTCCCTTGTTGTCCATATAGGTTCTGTATGCCAAGGCAATTTGAAAACTGCTTTCAAAACTGGCTTTGGGAAATGGAGGGAAGTGGTCTTAGATACACCTGGACACTCAAATCCCTGCTGCTAATGAGATGTCTCCTTGCACTCTAGCATGGCCATTCATTGATCCTACCCTGGCTCCAAGGCAACTGGAATCTTTGCAGGCCTTACAGGCCTCATAGACAATCTTTGTCCTGCCATCTATGAGAGTGTCTCACTACTCAATTTCTAACCTAATGACAAGGCTGCAAATTTCCAAGCCTGTTGGGAATTTTTTTTCTTTTTTTTTGGGGGGGGGAGGGTCTAGTCGTGGGGCCTGAACTCTAGGCCTGGGTTCTGTCCCTCTGCTCTACCACTTGAGCCACAGCACCACTTCCTGCTTTTTTTTGGGGGGGGGTCCAGTTGTGAGGCCTGAACTCTGGGCCTAGGCACTGTCCCTCAGCTCTTCAGCTCAAGGCTAGCGCCCTACCACTTGAGCCACAGCACCACTTCTGGCTTTTTTCTTTTTCCTTACGTGGTGCTGAGGAATCGAACCCAGGGCCTCATGCATGCAAGGTAAGCGCTCTACCACTGTGCCACCTTCCCAGCCCCTGGGAGTTTTGCTTTTTTTTTTTTTTTAAGTAGTTGTACAAAGGTGTGTTAGTTTGAATTCTTTGCCTATACACAAGCACACAGGTAATGGCCAGATGGCTCGGATCATCTGAAACCATCCAGATGGAATAACCAAGCAAGTGTTCAACCCTCTGAAACTGCTTCTCTGGGTGGTACTTGCCTTTAGTCAGGCCAGGCTTCCTATGACATGAGTGCTGAAGCAAGAAGGATATAACCTTAAGGAAGGAGATCTGAGATGCAGAAGTGAGTGCTCTGATGGAAAAGCACTACAAGGTGGGTGAGCCATCTCAAGAGGTCACACTGCCACAGTCCAGATAAACTTAAAAGTCCCCAACTCTGCTGGGTACTTAGTGGCTCATGCCTGTAATCCTAGCCACTCAGTAGGTGGCTGAGACCTGAGGATCATGGCTCAAAGCCAGCCTGGGCATGAAAGTCTGTGAGACTCATCTCCATTTAACCACCCCAAAACCAGAACTGGAGCTGTGGCTCAAAGTGGTAGATTGCTATCCTTGAGTACAAAAAACTCAAGGACAGCGCCCTGGCCCTGAGTCCAAGCCCTACCACCAACAATAAAACAAAGTCCCTATCTCTTTGTTGAGCCTTTAGCTCCCTGGTAGAGTACTTGCATAGCAGGTGTGAGGCTCTAGGACTGATCCCCAGGGAACCCAGTTCATTCCCCTCCATAAAAATTCAGAACTTGGCTGGATGCTAGTGGTCCATGCCTGTAATCCTAGCTACTCAGGAGGCTGAGATCTGAGGATCATGGATCAAAGCTAACCTGGGCTGGAAATTCCATGAAACTCTTATCTCCAATTAACTACCAGAAAACCAGAAGTGGTGCTGTTGCTCAAGTGGTAGAGTGCTGGTAGAGTTCAAGCCCCACAACCAAAAACAACAAAAAACCAGAACTCTTAGCCTGAGTTCTGAGGTTTTCATACCTGGACCTCAAGGGCTCTGCTAGACATCTTTTGTATCTATTGTGTCTTTCTACTTAGGATACAGACTGCATTAGTAACCAGTGAGACAGGATAACATGTAACTATAACACAATCACCTGTTAATTTTTTTATTTTTATTTTGTCAGTTGTGGAGCTTGAACTCTGGGCCTGGGCGCTGTCCCTCAGCTCTTCAGCTCAAGGCTAGCATGCTACTATTTGAGTCATAGCGCCACTTCCGGTTTTCTGGTGGTTTATTGGAGATAAGTCTCATGGACTTTCCTGCCCAGGCTGGCTTTGAACAGCAGTCCTCAGATCTCTGCCTCCCGAGTAGCTAGGATTACAGGTATGAGCTTCTGGTGCCCAGCTTCTGTCTGTTAATTTCTTTGATAACATTTACCTGTAGTTTTTCAAAGAAAATGATGAATTTTAGAAATTTGCAGATTATCTTAAACTGGAAGTATGTGTATTAACCAAACTTAAGGCCTTACATTTGGGAGATAAGCACTTTACTCCTTTTCTTTAACTATTTTAATGTATTTTTTAATTGTTATGTAGATAGGGGTTACAGTTTCATAGGTCATGAGTATATTTCTTTTGAGACACCCCTTCAAAGTGTATTGTTTAAAAGTTCCTTCTTTGGCCTAGTGGGTTGGCTCTTGTTTTTTGTTTGTTTTTCTGTTGGTCATGGGGCTTGAACTCTGGGTTTGGGCGCTGTCCCTCAGCTCTTGAGCTCAAGGCAAGTGCTCTACCGAGTCACAGCGCCACTTCCGGTGTTCTAATGGTTTATTGGAGATAAGAGTCTCACAGACTTTCCGGCCAGGGCTGGCTTTGAACTGTGATCCTCAGATCTCTGCCTCCTGAGTAGCTAGGATTACAAGTGTAAGCCACCGGCGCCCAGCAGTAACTCTTGTTTTTTGTTGGTTGTAGGGCTTGAACTCTGAGCCTGGGCACTGTCCCTGTGCTCTTCAGCTCAAGGCAAGCACTCTACCACTTGAGCCACAGCACCACTTCCAGTTGGTGGTTAATTGAAGTCTCATGTGGGCTTTCCTGCCCTGGCTGGTTTTGAAACACAATCCTCAGAACTCAGCGAACTGAGTAACTAGGATTTCAGGTGTAACCACTGGCACCTGGCTCCCTCTGCTTTTTTCAGTATGTTTTTCAGATAAGGGTCTAGTGTTTTTGTCCAGGAGGGCGTCAGAGACAGTGATCCCCTTTTTTGTCTCCCATGTGTCATCTTGTCTTGCTTATATTATTTTACCTAGTACATTCCTTCTACAGATACATAGAGGCAGCAGTTAATTTTGTGAGAATTATGTTTACAAGTCTAAAAAAATAGGGGGTTGGAGGTGTGGCTCAGGTGGTAGGGTGCCTGAAAATAAGCGAAGCATCAGATATCAAGTACTTTGGTTAGGTATGTTGGTGTACTGTAATCCCAACTCTCAGAAGGATCATGAGTCCCAGATCCAAAACCCCGTTTCAAAAATCTTAGGGGACGTGGAAAACAGAATTGCTTTATATCCAATTAGCACTGGAGAAAAATAAAATCATGTTTCATAATAGCTCATTTTCACGAATACAGCTGCTTAACACTGTTCTTTTTTTTTTGGTCAGTCGTGGGCCTGAACTCTGGGCCTGGTCGCTGTCTCTCAGCTCTTCAGCTCAAGGCTAGCGCTCTACCACTTGAGCCACAGCTCCACTTCCGGCTTTTTTCTTATGTGGTGCTGAGGAATTGAACCCAGGGCCTCATGCATGCAAGGCAAGCGCTCTACCACTGAGCTACCTTCCCAGCCCCTCAACAACCCTTCTTATGTCAGTAACTCAGCTTTTTCTCACCTAATACTTTTTTTCCAACTAAGTAAGCCCGTCCCAGGGCTGGACGAGGGCGTTCCGGGGAGGAGAGATGACAGGGATCCCAGTTTCCCCCCGCGCCCGGGCGGTCACCCACTGCCTCCCCGGAGCTTCCGGCCCCGCCCGTCCTGCGGGCTCCACCTCTTCCGGCGCGGTAGCCTCGCCTTCTGTTTGCGCCGGCTACTCGGGCGACGCGGAGTGGAGCGATGGCGGCTGGCGGCAACGATCCTCGAGCGGGCGACGTGGAAGAAGATGCCTCCCAGCTCATCTTCCCTAAAGGTGCGGCCAGGGCCTGGCCACAGCGGGGCGCCCTGCGATACGGGCCGCGGCGTGGGGCCGGGCGGACCAGGCCCACGGGACGCAGGCGGCCCGGCGGAAGCTGTATTCCGCGCCGCGGTCCTGGGCGGCCTGGCCCTCCTGAGCGGCGTATTGCCTGTTAAGTAGCCGCGAAGTCCTGGGCAGACAAGCTAGTTCAAATAGCCAGCAAGTCGTGGCTTCGGGTGAGCCAACCCAGCTCTGCCTCCTGCAGAACCTCCTGGTGGGAGGTATTACTACTGTGTGCGCGCGCGCTGATCCTAGGACTTTAATTCAGGGCCTGGGCACTATTACTAAGTTGTTTATTTGTGAGTTGTTTATTTGTTGGTCGTAGGGCTTGAACTCTGGGCCCGAGTGCCTCTCAGCTCTTCAGCTCAAGGCTAGCGCTCTAGCGCTTGAGCCACAGCGCCACTTCGGCTTTTTCCTTATGTGGTGCTGAGGAATTGAACCCAGGGCTTCACGCATGCAAGGCAAGCGCTCTACCACTGAGCCACCTTCCCAGCCCTATTACTGAGTTTTTTTGACAGGCTTTGAACCTCTATTTTCTGATCTCACCGAGTTGCTAGGCGTGAGCCTAGCTACTATGTATTTAGCTTTTTTTTTTTTTTTTTGCCTTTTCTTTTTTGGTATTTGGGATCAAACCCAGAACATTGCACTTGCCAGGCAAGTGCTTTGCCACTGAGCTACATCCCAGCCCACTATTATGTATTTTTAAATATTAGAATCTGCAGAGACATAAAGAGCAACAGTGAATACTGAAAAAATTAGGTAAACTTTTGCTGTATAGGAAGTAAATATGACTGGTGTTTGCACATATATGCTATTTGTTGAGAGATGAGAAAAATTGATGTGTTGACTGAAAGCTTCTAAATACCTTTAGAACATATTTAAACATATTTACCCCAAAATAATACTGTTCATCTGTGCACAGTTAAAAACAACTATATTAAAGAAAGTAAGAGCCAGGTGTTGATGGCTCACACCTGTAATCCTAGCTACTCAGGACTTTGAGTTCTGAAGATCACATTTTAAAGCTAGCTCAGGCAGGAAAGTCTGTGACTTGAGACTCATCTCCAATAAACTACTCAGAAAAAAACAGGAAGTGGTGCTGTGGCCCAAGCGGTAGAGTGCTAGCCTTGAGCAAAAGAGACTCAGAAACAGCACCCTGACCCTGAGTTCAAGCCCCAGGACCTGTTAAAAAGTATATTGTAGAGCTAACCATAATAAACCCATGTTGACACATAGATAACTTTTAATTAAGATATATCTAGGTCAGAATCTTTGGTGTTAAATTTTACTATATCATGAATTTGATTACTCCTATGTGTGGTGAACAAATGTGGGTAAAAGCAGAGATGTGTAGTAAAATACACCTGGGTTTCTACAGAAGCAGAGAAATATTCAATGTAAATTGAACATTTAGAAGCTGATTTTGAAGGAAGACTATTTTCTGATAATTGTGTTTCTCACAGAGTTTGAAACAGCTGAGACACTTCTAAATTCAGAAGTTCATATGCTTCTGGAGCATCGAAAGCAACAAAATGAGAGTGCAGAGGATGAACAGGAACTCTCAGAGGTCTTCATGAAAACTTTAAACTACACAGCTCGTTTCAGTCGTTTCAAAAACAGAGAGACCATTGCTAGTGTCCGTAGGTAGGTACAAAAAGAAAGTTTTTACTAATCCAGATTTTGGGTATCTGAAGTTCTGGTAGTTCTGATTCCTTTCCCAAGTATCATCCAAGTAAAATGTTTTTGTTAAAAATTGGAGGGAGGGGGCTGGGAAGGTGGCTCAGTGGTAGAGCGCTTG